TTCACTGGAGGCAATTTTTGCTTACTAGGTAACTTCTTGGGGGAAAATCTTGAAAACAAAAGTAACCACTTATTGAGTGTCCACCCTTCTCCTGGAACTTTATGTCATTCATGAACACTAGTGCTAACACTCCTGATTACCCAGAAAAGTAGATTTTATTATTGCTCTCTTGCATTTATGGAAATCAAAGTCTGCCCAAGGTCACACAGCTGGTAAAAGGTTTGGGATGAGATTCACATGCGTCCTAGTTCCAAAGTCTTGTCCTTGACACATTTTAGGCCAATGAGCAAACAAGGATATTATTTTGCATAAACTCTCTGGTTTACTATTTTCCTAAAGGATCTCAGTGTCACAGCTAGTGCTTTTTATTATAAATAGACTATTAATGCAAACTCTTAACCAAGGCTGGGGTGAGTGGGTGTCAGGCGTATTTCGCGTATCACTCTGCTAAAGTAGGCAGTGGCAAGCCTCCTGCTTCTCACGACTGGGTCAGCCAACTCTACCCAGTGCCTTTCCTGTGGGTTGCAGCAGTAATATTAATAGATATCAAATAAGACCATCTTGAGTCCATCTGGCATGTGTTCCCGTTACACTGCCTCAGAACAGAAATTTTAACAGAACAAAAATTCTCTCATAAATCTGCATAAGTGTATGATTCTCCTGTTCAAGCATGCCACTGAGTTGTCAACAGTTTCTTCAGAAATCATGCTCACCACAGACAAATACAGGTAGGAGGTGTTCCCTGTCTTTACATATAAGTCAAGTCCAAGGAAAGAATGCCAGGCCACAAGCGCGTGGAAGTGAGTCCCAGGAGAGGAATTTATCACTTTGAATTTAATTTTGAAAACAAATTATCATTTCTTCTTTGCATTTTTCAAAGAATTCCTGCTTTAATGAGACACAGCAGGGCTGTTCCTCTAGGAGGTACGTAGACAAAAAGGAAAGGCTCAGCCTGGTCTCGTGTGGTATCTGTTGATATGAATGCTACAAACCATGGGGAAAACACTGGGCAAAGCCGGAAATGTTCAGTTCTTTAGGCCTCAGTTACACGGAGAACACGGAGCTGGAATTAGCTTTGGAAAACCTGAATTCAAGCCTGGCTCTGATATTTAAAGACTATGTGTCCTTAGAAAAGTCACTTCACCTCCCTGAGCTTTTGTTTTCCTCTCTAAATAATGGAGAAAATTATAGCTGGCAGGGTTATTAATAAAAAGTAAATGATAGAATTTAAATGAAAGCCTTCCTAGCTAGGGGCAAGTAGCTAGGGCATTGTAATTATATTTTGCCCAACTGTTTCTCCTCTAGAAATGTGAGCTATTTATGAGTAGGAAAAGTGACTTATTCACTCCTGTTTTTGCAAAGCACAGAATCCTTGAAAAATGATGGTCCCTCAGGATAATCGTTCATTGAATGAAGGAATCTGTAAATAGATGGATGGAAGGATATTGCAGACTTCACCGTGGTACAGTGTTGAGTAATGCATAGGAATCACTAAGGTCTGGCACAAGACTTTTTAAAATTTTTTTATTTTTATAGGCACATATGTTTACGGGGTACATGAAATATTTTGACACAGACATACAATGTGCAATAATCACATCAGGGTAAATGGAGTATCCCCACCTCAAGTATTTATTCTTTCTTTGTGTTACAAATAATCCAATTGTAGTCATTTAGTTATTTTCAAACATACAATAAATCATTGTTGGCACCCTGTGTGCTGGCAAATACTAGGTCTTATTCATTCTAACTATTTTGGACCCATTAACCAACCCCACTTTCCCCCAACCCCTTGCTCCACCCTCCCAGCCTCTAGTAACCATTGCTCTGCTCTCTATCTCCATGGGTTCGATTGTTCTATTTATTTATTTATTTGACAGAGTCTCACTCTGTCACTCAGGCTGCAGTGCAATGGCAGGATTGCGGCTCACTGCAACCTCCACCTCCTGGGTTTAAGCAATTCTCCTGCCTCAGCTTCTTGAGTACCTGGGAATACAGGCGCCCACCACCATGCCCAGCTATTTTTTTTTTTTTCTGTATTTTTAGTAGAGATGGGATTTCTCCATGTTAGCCAAGTTGGTTTTGAACTCCTGACTTCAAGTGATCCACCCACCTCAGCCTCCCAAAGTCCTAGGATTACAGGCATGAGCCACCGCGCCTGGCACAATTGTTTTAATTTTTGGCTCCCACCTGTAAGTGAGAAGGTGTGAAGTTTGTCTTTCTGTGCCTGGTTTATTTCACTTAACATAATGATTTTCAGTTCCATCCATGTTGTTGCAAATGACAGAATATCATTATTTTTTGTAGCCGAATAGTACTCCTCTGTGTATATGTACCACATTTTCTTTATCCATGAGTCTATTGATGGATGCTTAGATTGCTTACAAATTTTGGCTATTGTCAATACTGCTGCAATAAACATAAAAATGCAGATATCTCTTCAATTTACTGATTTCCTTTCCTTTGGGCTTAAACTCAGCAGTGGGATTGCTGAGTCATATGGTAGCTGTATCTTCAATTTTTGGAGGAACTTTCAAACTGTGTTCCGTAATGGTTGTATTAATTGACATTTCCACAAACAGCGTGTGACAGTTCTCTTTTCTCCACACCCTCAACAGCATTTATTGTTGCCTGTCTTTTGGATAAGAGCCCTTTTAACTGGGGTGAGATGATATCTCATTACAGTTTGGATTTGCATTTCTCTGAGGATCAGTGGTGTTGAGTACCTTTCTGTATACATACTTACCACTTGTATGTCTTCTTTTGAAAAATGTCTGTTCAGAGCTTCTGCTCATTTTAAAATTAGATTATTAGATTTCTTTCCTATGGAGTTTTTGAACTCCCTATATGTTCTGGTTATTGATACCCAGGTGGGTAGTTTGCAAATACTTTCTTCCATTCTGTGGGTTGTCTCCTCACTTTTTTTCTCTTTGCTGTGCAGAAGCTTTTTAACTTGCTGTGATCCCATTTGTCTATTTTTGCTTTGGGTGCCTGTGCTTATAGGGTATTACTCAAGAAATCTTTTCCCAGGCCAACGTCCTGGAGAGCTTCCACAGTTTTCTTATAGTAGTTTCACAGTTTGAGGTCTTAGATTTAAGTCTGTAAACCATTTTGATTTGATTTTTGTGTACAGTGAGAGGTAGGGGTTTGGTTTAGTTCTTCTGCACATGGATATGCAGTTTTCCTATCACCATTTATTGAAGAGACTGTCCTTTCCCCAATGTATGTTCTTGGCACTTTTGCTAGAAATGAGTTCTCTACAGATGTATAAATTTGTTTCTGGATTCTCTATTCTATTCCATTGATCTGTGTGCCTGTTTTTATCTAGCACAGACCTTAATCAGCTCCTTCCCAACCTGAGAGCACATATCCTGCCAATCCTTTGCATAATTCAAGACTTTATCCTGAACCTTCGCTCTGCCATCTTGCACTCCACCTCCTACCATCTTTCCAGTCCTCTCTGCTTTGACACAGTGACACATTTTTAAATTTTTGTCTCAACTCACAAATTAGACCCAACCATCATTACCACAACCTAACCTGACAATTCTCAAAGTCAGGCAAGCATCAGTATTGCCTAGAGGGCTTGTTAAAACAGATTTCTGGGCCTTACTCCAAAAGTTTCTGATTGAGCAAGCCTGGAGAGGAGCCCGAGAATCTGCATTTCTAACAAGTTCCCAGGTGATGTTATGCTGCTGGTCTGGAGACCACACTTTGAGAACCACTAGTCTAAGCTGTGATCACTACTTCTCTTTGACAGGGAGTCCCCACCCAGGTACTGTGAATGACATATGGCCATTTCCTCCATGATGCTCTTGGGCACAGCTCCTTCAGAGCACAAGGAGAGAAGGGAGGGGGCTGGGCTGCCCAGGTCAACTCTCAAGTTGGAACTTTTAGCTCATTGGAATTTCAAGTCACTGGAGCCTAGGAGGTTGGCAGCCAGTGGTGTGCTGGTAAATTTTAACAACTGGCCATTGAGAGCTTCAAGAAGTGGGTAGGCACCCAGATTTGTAGCATTTTTATTTTTTTTATTTATTTATTTATTTTGAGACGGAGTTTTGCTCTTGTTACCCAGGCTGGAGTGCAATGGCGCCATCTCGGCTCACCGCAACCTCCGCCTCCTGGGTTCAGGCAATTCTCCTGCCTCAGCCTCCTGAGTAGCTGGGATTACAGGCACGCGCCACCACGCCCAGCTAATTTTTTGTATTTTTTTTTTTTTTAGTAGAGATGGGGTTGCACCATGTTGACCAGGATGGTCTCGATCTGTTGACCTCGTGATCCACCCGCCTCGGCCTCCCAAAGTGCTGGGATTACAGGCTTGAGCCACCGCGCCTGGGCCGATTTGTAGCATTTAACAGCTTCTGTCCTATGCAGTATGAGTACAATGTAGCCAATTTCCAGCAACCAACCTGATGTCAAGTGGCTGACAAAATCCTGAAAATGTAACAAAAGGTCTCTCATGGGCCAGTATGAATATGAATAGGGTAGCACACCACTGCTTGGCCCCCAGCCTGCTAGATTTGTTATATTCTTCCTACTAGCCCTGTTCTTCCTGCTAGATTTCTTATATTCTTTCTACTAGCCCTGTTCTCCTGGGTATCTCCTTCTTCCTTTTATTCTTTGTCCATTTCTTACAGATTTATTGAAATTGCCTGGCTCAGACACTTTGCCATTCTGCTCTGCGCCATCACATCTGTCCCCTGCCCCACTGCCCTGCAGAGAGTCCTTCCTTCAGGTTTTACTGCTCGGTCTGGCCTGGGCTGGACCTTCTTGGCCTCAGCTTGTTGGCTGCTTCTTGTACAGCCGTTGCTCTGCTCTGATTCCTCCACAATCTTGATGGCTTCCCTGCTTTTCCTCCCCTGCTCAGCCCCCCTTCATGGGCACACATCCTTCCAACATGTGAGAGAAGTTGGCATAGTAAAAAATAAACAAAATCAGAATGAACTCTTTTCATATTTCATTCGGTAATGGCATTTCACAGGTCCTCTCATTGTTTCCAGATCCAAAGGGAGATACCCATCCATAGAAGATGGTTGCTGTCAGAAAATGCTGAGGAGTTTGCACAAGGAACGGAAGTGGAGTTGACCAATGCATCAGGAAGCGTACACTTTCTTTTTAAACCGCTGTGCTCGTCTGTAAAGACCCAAACCTGAGGGGTAAAAGGGGAGAGAATGAAGTTAATGCTTCTGTGTCATAGAGAAAAGCTGCCAGAATGTGATTAAGCTTTTTGAGTTAGAACTTAATAAAAATGCCTTTGCTACTGGTTTCCATGGTTGTCCAGTGAAAAGAGTGAATACATTTATACTAAACACAAAAGGTGGTTTCAGAGCTTGGGCAGGAGGGAAGACGTATTTCTTCTACTATTTGCTCCTGTAAGTTTAGTGTCACAAACCTCCTCAGGAGTCTGGGAGATGCTGGGGGAGCATTTTTCATCCAAATGCTGAGCAGGTTTGAATTTCTTCCTGAACAGGAAATGAAGACCTAGATCTTGAGAAAGGCCTAGCTCCTCGCTAATGAGCTTACCTGCTTCTCTTGAGACAGCTTGCCTTAAAGTAGACAATGCTCTCATGGGCTTCTAGATCTTAGAAAATGCTTCTCATTCTAGGGGGCTTTGGCCATGGAGACCATCACACAGCTCTTTTCCCTTCTCCTTTTGGCTGCCATCCCAGTAAACGGGTCCTGTCCAGAACCCACAGAGGAGAAAGGCATTAGAGAGGTGGTAAAGATGGATGGTGGGCTTGGCAGCGATGTTAAGTCCTGAAAAATGCTGTGAGTTGGGAAGTTTCTTACAACACTGTGTTTCTACAAAGGAATACTTGATGCTGGGTAATTTATAAAGAAGGAGGTTACTTTGACTTGCAATTCTGCAGGCTGTGCAAAAAGCATGGCACCTGCATTTGCTTCTGGTGAGGGCTTCAGGCTGCTTCCACTCATGGCGGAAGAGGAAGGGGAGTCAGTATGTGTAGATCACATGGTGAGAGAGGAAGCAGGTGGGGAGATGCAGGCTCTCTTTTCTATACTTAAGTTCTGGGATACATGTGCAGAATGTGCAGGTTTGCTACTTAGGTATACACATGCCATGGTGGTTTGCTGCACCCGTCAACACGTCATCTACATTGGCATTTCTCCTAATGTTATCCCTCCCCTAGCCCTCCCACCCCCAACATGCCCCAGTATGTGATGTTACCCTCCCTGTGTCCATGTGCTCTCGTTCTTCAACTCCCACTTATGAGTGAGAACATGCGGTCTTTGGTTTTCTATTCTTGTGTTAGTTTGCTGAGAATGATGGTTTCCAGCTTCATCCATGTCCCTACAAAGGACACAAACTCATCCTTTTTTATGACTGCACAGTATTCCATGGTGTATGTGTGCCACATTTTCATTATCCAGTCTATCATTGATGGGCATTCGGGTTGGTTTCTAAGTCTTGTTATTGTGAACAGTGCTGCAATAAACGTATGTGTGCATGTGTCTTTATAATAGATGATTTAAAATTCTTTGGGTATATATCCAGTAATAGGATTGCTGGGTCAAATGGTATTTCTAGTTCCAGATCCTTGAGGAATTGCCATACTGTCTTCCACAATGGTTGAACTAATTTATACTCCCACCAACAGTGTAAAGCACTTCCTGTTTCTCCACATCCTCTCCAGCATCTGTCGTTTCCTGACTTTTTGATGATCACCATTCTTACTGGCATGAGGTGGTATCTCAATGTGGTTTTGATTTGCATTTCTTTAATGACCAGTGACGATGAGCTTTTTTTCATGCTTGTTGGCTGCATACGTGTCTTATTTTGAGAAGTGTCTGTTCATAACCTTTGCCCACTTTTTGATGGGGTTGTTTGTTTTTTTCCTGTAAATTTGTTTAAGTTCTTTGTAGATTCTGAATATTAGCCCTTTGTCAAATTAATAGATTGCAAAAATTTTCTCCCATTCTGTAGGTTGCCCATTTACTCCAATGATAATTTCTTTTGCTGTGCAGAAGCTGCTTTCTAAATACACAATCATGTTTCCATTTGTCTATTTTGGCTTTTGTTCCATTGCTTTAGGTGTTTTAATCATGAAATCTTTGCCCATGCTTATGTCCTGAATGGTATTCCCTAGGTTTTTTTCTAGAGTTTTCATGGGTTTAGGTCTTGTATTTAAATCTTTAATCCATCCTGAGTTAATTTTTGTGTAAGGTATAAGGAAGGGATCCAGTTTTCCCAACACCATTTATTGAATAGGAAATCCTGTACCCATTGCTTGTTTTAGTCAGGTTTGTCAAAGGTCAGATGATTGTAGATGTGTGGTATAATTTCTGAGGCCTATGTTCTGTTCCATTGGTCTGTATATTTATTTTGGTACCAGTACCATGTTGTTTGTGTTACTGTAGCCTTGTAGTATAGTTTGAAGTCAGGTAGCATGATGTCTCCAGCTTTGTTCTTTTTGCTTAGGATTGTCTTAGCTATGCAGGCTCTTTTTTGGTTTCATATGAAATTTAAAGTAGTTTTTTCCAGTTCTGTGAAGAAAGCCAATAGTAGCTTGATGGGGATAGCATTAAATCTGTAAATTACTTTGGGCAGTATGGCCATATTCATGATATTGATTGTTCCTATCCATGAGCATGGAATGTTTTTCCAATTGTTTGTATTCTCTCTTATTTCTTTGAGCAGCGGTTTGTAGTTCTCCCAGGTTGACCTCAGACTGCTGTACTTATAGCGAGAATTTCAAGCCACAGATCTTAGCTTGCTGTGCTCTGTGGGCATGAGACACACTGAGCCAGATCATTTGGTTCCCTGGCTTCAGCTCCTTTTCCAGGGGAGTGAAGGATTCTGTCTTGCTGGCATTCCAGGTGCCACTGGACTATGAAAAAAAAGAAAAAAAACAACTCCTGCTGCTAGCTTGGTGTCTGCCCAAACAGTCACCCAGTTTTGTGCTTGAAACCCAGGGCCCTGGTGGTGTAGGCACCAAAGGGAACCTCCTGATCTGCTGGTTGTGAAGACCACAGGAAAAGCATAGTATCTGGGCCAGCATGCTTCTTACTGGTACAGTCTCTCACAGCTTCCCGTGGCTAGGGGAGAGAAATCCCCCAACCCTTTGCACTTCCCAGGTGTGGCTATGGCCCACCCTGCTTTGGCTCACCCTCCATGGACTGCACCCACTGTCCAACCAGTCTCCCAATAAGATGAACTGGGTACCTCAGTTGGAATTGTAGAAATCACCCACCTTCTGCATCAACCTTGCTGGGAGCTGCAGACTGGAGCTGTCCCTATTCGGCCATCTTGCCAGTCATTCAGTGCCAGGCTCTTTTTATCAATCAGCTCTCATGGGAACCAGTAAAGTGAAAACTTATTGCTGTGAAGATGGTGCTGAGCCGTTCATGAGGGGTCCATCCTCATGACCCTAACACCTCCCTTTAGGCCTCACCTCCAACATGGGAGACCCACCTGTGCCCTTCCTTTTTTGGAATCAGTATCTCAGATAGTCACTGCTCTGATCCAACTGGTGTCTCCAATGACTTGATTGGAACAACTTTTATCTTCTTCCACCTGCTCCATTCACGTACCATGTCTCCTTGCCCTGAAAGGACCAAAGGGTTTCAATTTTCTTAACCTGTGCCTCAGTTTCCTCCTTGACAAGATGAGCATAATAGGAGTAAGTACCTTAGTTTGTAAGAGGACTAAGTAGTTCATATGTGAATGCATATTAACTAAACTCATTTCTTATCTCTAATCACCTATGTAACATCCTTATGTCTAACAGAATCTTAACTTCATTGTGGCCAGAACAGAAACCTTGATTCTCCAGTTCCCAAACCTACTCTTCCCTGATGGTTTCTCTTACTGATTAGTGGCACTGTCGTTCACCCAGCTACTCTGGCCGAAACCTTTGCCTCCTCTCTTTTGCTCACACTCCACATCCAATCCTTCAAGAAACTGGGCCTCTTCTTGCCTCTCCCATCACAACCCTAGTCCAAGCCAGCAACTGCTCACCTGGATTGTGCACTGGGTCTCTCCACTCTCCCTGCCTCCACCACTATCCCTTTACTGCTGTCAAAGAGACACTTTCAAATTACAAGCAAGCCCATGAGCCTCTGGTTCCAACCTTCTAATGGTCTCCCACCACATTTACAGTAGAATCCACTGTACTTACCAAGGCCCAGACGTCCCACCTATCTGGCCCCTGGCTGCTTCTTCTGCTCAGCTCCCTCCTCATCCACCATTGCTTTCTCTGTCTCAACCACATTGGCCTGACTGTCCTCCAGCTCAGGGGACACCTTGCTGTCTCCACAACCTTGCCCTCCCTGAGCTGGAGGACCTATTGCAACCTTCATTCTCCTCATATCTGCATACTTCACCCATTTCACTTCTGGTACATCTCTGACACCCTGGACACCTTACCTTGAAATAGTACCACTGGACCCCTTCTGTGATGTTACACTTCTTTAGTTGTCTCATACTTGCTTATTACTCCTGAAACAACAATGTGTAGTCTCTAGCACAAGATTGTAAGGGCCATAAGGACGGGGGCTTTGAGTGTCTTTTTGTCTGCTCTGTCTTCAACTCCTAGATGCATCTCTAACATGCAGGAGGTCCTTAGTAAATATTTATAGAATGCATGCATGAACCAGTAAGAGTAGTGCCTGCCACATGAATAAGTGTTTAATAAGTGTTAGTAATTATTACAGGCATTACTCACACTGCCAAGCTACTTCTTGAATTTTCCCAGGGGTAGGGATGGCCCCATCTCATAGTTTAAATGGAGCTAGTACCATAACAGAAACTTTAACATCTATTACTTCATTTCATCCACACATCAGCCTTATAAATACGTTTTACTGTCCCCACCACTTTGCACGTGAGAGAAAGGAGAATAGAAATATCAAATGACCACCTCTTACTCTACCCGGGATCTCATATGGTTTGGCTCTGTGTCCCCACCACAATCTCATCTCAACTTATAATCCCCACGTGTCTTGGGAGGGACCTGATGGGAAATTATTGGCTCATGGGGGCAGTTTCCCCCATATTGTTCTCATGATACCGAGGGAGTTCTTATGAGATCTGATGGTTTAAAAGTGGCAGTTTCTCCTGCGCTCTTTCTCCTGTCACATTGTGAAGAAGGTGCCTTGCTTCACCTTC